TTCCAGGAGCAGGGAGGTCCCTCTTGTCATCCATGGAGCCAGCAGCTGGAGGTGACTGCAGGGTGGTAGTGCCCAGCATCTCCAATTCCCAGCATCCCTGGGAGTTTTCCACCTCAAAAGCACCTCCCTGGCTCTGTCAGATGTTGAAATGGTCGGTGCTTTGCAGCATCACCCCCTGCCCTTCATCCTCCATGAGGCATCCCCCAAAAGTGATGTTCCCCTCTGCCCTGGCTTCCTCATCACTCTCAGAAAATCCCTGTTGCGGCTTCCTTCCCCAACACCCCGGAGCTGCTGACCCCGTGGGGTCCGGTGCTTTACAGGCACTGGGTGTCCCTTGGGTGCCCACGGTCTGGCTGGGACAGGGAGGATGTCTGTGGGCAGAGCAGAGGCACGTTTTTGTGGAGGAAGCCCCTGGGCAGAGTTGCCCACTGGGGATGTGGCATCAGCAGGACCACACTGCCCCAACAGTCCCTTCCCCAGCCAGGAGGGGACGAGCCCTGGCCATGGCTGAGCCGTGTCTCTTTGCCCAGGCGGCAGCAGGACACACCTTGCTCCCGGCAGTGGAGGGATCGTCCGAGTGGAGAGGATGTGAGTGAGGTGGGGAGGCTGCCCGTTCTCCCTGTGCCGGCAGTGTTGCCCCATCTGTGCCCCGTCCCCACTGGGGCTGTGCCTAGTGGCGGGTGCCCAAAAGGAGGGCTCGTCCGGGAGTTGAACCCGGGACCTCTCGCACCCAAAGCGAGAATCATACCCCTAGACCAACGAGCCAGGGTGCTGCACCCCAGTGCACCCCCAGCCTCTGTGCCCCACACACTTAGAGGTTTGGGTGGGCAGCGGAGTCTGTGTGTGACCTTCAGCACATTCCAGGAGCAGGGAGGTCCCTCTTGTCATCCATGGAGCCAGCAGCTGGAGGTGACTGCAGGGTGGTAGTGCCCAGCATCTCCAATTCCCAGCATCCCTGGGAGTTTTCCACCTCAAAAGCACCTCCCTGGCTCTGGGGGAGAGCGGGTGTGTCCCTGGAGTACCCATGGCTGTGGCTGTGATGGCCGAGGGGTGAAGGCGTTGGACTCGAAATCCAATAGGGTTTCCCTGCGCAGGTTCGAATCCTGCTCACAGCGAGAGCTTTTACTCGCTGCCCACGCTGGGGGTCCTGGGGTGGTCATGTCTGGGGCCTTTGGGGGAGCTGGAGTAGGAACATTCTGGGAACCAGGGCTGCTCCAGACTTGCACCTCTTCCCTGGCGAGCAGCCTTCCACCAGGGAACCTGCTCCCTGGCTGAGAGCCCAGCAGTGCCCCAGGCAAGGGAAGGTCCCAGGGCAGGCGGGACACAGGATCTTCTCGGATTTTCCAAGTTCTGCAGACCCGGGAGAGGTGAGGAAGCAGCCGTTGAGGGGAGTGGGGTCCCCACCTGTGGGCCACTTTGTGGGGATGCTGAGCGGCTCTCCATCATCATCAACCCTGTGCATCATCCCCTGGGGGAGGTGATGGCTGGAGAGCAGAGGGGAGGGAGAGGGCAGTGCCCTGAGGCTGCTCCCACCTGCACTGGGCACCGGTTGGCCTGTGCCATGCTTGGGGCTGTGGGGGACAGGGTCTGAGCTGGAAGCAAATTGCACACCTTCGTTTGTTGCTGTAAAGGTATAGATCTCTCTTAGGGTGTGTGAGGTCTGATGTTCAACTCCAGGACGAGCCCTCCTTTTGGGTACCCAATGCTGGGCATAGCCCATGCAGGGATGGGGCACCGATAGGGCGATCCTGCCCAGCTCAGGGGAGACGAGTGGCCTCCCCAGGTCAGCAGATCCTGCCAACACCAGCATTTGCCCCAAGTCCCCTGGGAAGGGAGACAAGGTGCCCCCACCCTCCACAGTGCGCAAGCAGGGGAGGGAAAGGCCTGTGGGCGTTTCCTCACAGCCTGTGAGTGCCAGCCCCAGGCCAGCCACACCTGCAGAAAACTCCAAGGCCTTTTTTGGGGATGTGGGGGGCTCTGGCAGCCCCACAGCTGGCAGGGAGGGGGCTCTGGGGAGGCAAAAGTACATGGAGATGCTGGGGGTTGAACCCAGAGCAAAGCAAGTGCTCTCCCACTGAGCTACATTCCCCTGGACATGGGTACTTGTGGGGGCCTGGCCAAGTGCCCTCACCCCCCATTGCCATCCCACTGCCCACAGCTCACCCCACTCAGCTCCCAGGGCCCCAAAACCAGATCATCAGGGGCTGCACTCCATCATCCTCATTTCTGCTACTTAGGGGCACCATCCTGGCCATCGGGATGTGCCCACCCCCAATGCTCTGCCCATCTCCATTACACCAGGCACCCGTGCCCTCCCACCATCATAGCCCTGGTCCCACTGCAGGCAGGGGCCACGCATTTTAGCCAAGGAAGGTGGGTGCCCAAAAGGAGGGCTCGTCCGGGAGTTGAACCCGGGACCTCTCACACCCGAAGCGAGAATCATACCCCTAGACCAACGAGCCAGGGTGCTGCAAATAGGCAGGAACCCCGTCCTTGAGCTCCAGTACTTGAGAAACTGGTTGGGTGGGATGGGATGTGGGGAAGCTCTTTTTGGCCCTGATGGATACTCCCAGCTGGGACGTTCCCCTTGCTCTGCCCTGACTGCAGGGCTGGCACATAGACATGGCCACGGGCTGTAAGTGCCCTGGCTCCAAAAGCCATGGGAGCGAGAGGGCCAGGGCAGGCACCAGGACCTCTGGGTGGCACCACTCCACAAGAAGGGGGATGTAGCTCAGTGGTAGAGCGCTTGCTTCGCATGTAAGAGGTCCTGGGTTCAATCCCCAGCATCTCCAACTTTTTTTTTTTTTTTCTTTGCCTCTTTAAACCCACCTTCATCACGGGGCATTGGTGATAAACTCCACTTCTACCTCCAGAAGGCATTCCCAAAGGAGCCTCTCATGCCTGCATCCTGCACCACAGCCCCCAGGCAGAGTTGCCCACTGGGGACATGGTGGCAGCAGGGCCCCACTCTGCTGTCCC